TATGGAGGTCCTTTGACTACCTTCGAGGATTCCGAGAAGGAAAGCGAGTATGGATACGTTCGCAAGGTTCTTCTACTTCCTCGATCTGTATTTTCACCACTTCGTTTTCAGTATCCGATTTAATTTCATTTTCAACTTGTACTTCCAAACCGTTACTTGATTGTTTGATAGATTGTGGTGACATTTCACATCATCGATTTGTTTATTTGCTTGAATTTGCTGTAATTTGGTAGATTTTGATTGTCTTTGTTGAATTATTCTGATAATGTTGTGTAGTTAGTTGAGCCTGCAGTCTCCAAGTGGAGGTTGTGGTTTCAAGAGATCTGGCCTTGACGCAGCTGCTCTAAGAACCAACCACTCTGCTGAAATATTAGTTTGTAAATAATATATCTTGCCCCTTACTTAAGTTTAGTATGTTACGACCTTGTCTCCTATTTCTTTGTTCTTTTAGGATACTTATCCCCAAGATTCTGGGATTCTGTAGTCTATGCTTGCCTGCCTTTCCCCTGGTGTGAGGTTTAGTTTTTGCTAACACGAGTGGAATCACATCATTTAATTCATTACTTGATTACTGAATGAAGTCTGGATCCTTCGTATCAATACTTCCAGACTAATTTGAAATCAGAAAAATAAAAAAAGAATGTAAAAATGCTTTGACATCATGATGCTCAGACGACCTGCCCTGCTAAACGTTGATGCAAAGGTTATATTTTACTTCTTATTACTCTGTCCTGTGATTGTTGTCCCTAATTTCAATAGGTTGCAAGCCTATTCTTTCTTTAAGTTTTCTTAATTTGATTTTTGCACCTTTTAACCTTAGACTTCTTGACTCCGTGCTGTATATCTTTAGATACTTCGGAATTGCTTGTTCTAATACAACCTTCCTTTATTAGTATAACTACTAGCTTGATGAGGATAATGTTCTTGATAATAAAATTATCGCTCTAAAGATTCCCATATTTTCAACTGCTTGAGAGAGTTTCTTGTTGAAGGCTCCAGCAAATTCTGTTTTAATATTCATTTTATTTTCCAATAGGTATCTGGACCAGTGGTTGTTGCTGATGGAATGGCAGGAGCTGCCATGTACGAACTTGTTCGTGTTGGTCATGACAACCTCATTGGGGAAATTATTCGGCTGGAAGGAGATTCTGCCACGATTCAAGGTATAATTATTTGTAGTCCTTGCTTGTTCTCTCCCATAAAGTTTCAAGTCTTTGGTCTTCCTGTCTAGTATCACACACACCCTCAACTAAGAACTGAGCAAAAAAATAATTGAATTATGGTTGAAATAAATGAATAAAAAATGAACAGTATGATTTCGTTCCTCAATGTTTAGTCTGTTTAATATGAATCAGAATTAAGATGGCATATTGTTGACTGTATCTTTTCTGCTTTTCTTGCAGTTTATGAAGAAACAGCTGGGTTGATGGTGAATGATCCTGTTCTACGAACACACAAGGTTTTCATGCTAACTATTTTAACTTGTGCATTGGAGTTGTTTACTGGTTTTCCTATGTTGCTGAAAAACATAGACTATATTTTAACAATTTTCCAAATCTACAGCCTCTGTCAGTGGAATTGGGGCCTGGAATTCTGGGGAACATCTTTGATGGTATTCAGGTTCTGAAAATCTTCTTGTCTACCTGTGTCACCCCCCTCTCCCAATCGAGCACTTTACAATAACAGATCTCATTCTAAGCTTTGCTTGTGACCAGTGGAGAGAACTGTCTAATTATAGCTCTTTTTATTTATTTTTTTAATTTTTTCCCCCTTCCTTCCAATACTTGATGCAGAGGCCTCTGAAGACAATTGCAAAAATATCTGGTGATGTCTATATTCCTCGTGGTGTTTCTGTCCCAGCTCTCGACAAAGACATTCTTTGGGAATTTCAGCCCAAGAAAATAGGTGTGCCTTGAATCGTTCTAAATAACTGAATATCATATTGATGGTTTTAACTTAAATTAGAAATGTAGAGTAGCTTGGTGACATATTTAATAATTTAACATCATGTTCCTGTCCAGGAGAGGGAGATCTCTTGACAGGTGGAGACTTATATGCTGTGAGTTTTACAGGACTTAACTCAGATGCTGAAATTTGAAAATTCTTTCAATGATTTCTTATTGCATCTTTTATTGGTACTTCAAATTTTTTAATCTACATTCCATTCCATGACAACTTTCCTATGCAGGATGTATTTGAAAACAGTTTAATGCAACACCACGTGGGACTTCCTCCTGATGCTATGGGAAAGATAAGCTACATTGCCCCACCTGGCCAATACTCTCTGAAGGTTTGTCATTTGAACTCCATTTTTATGCTAATATAGGACTTTCGTAATTTGGTTAAGTTCAAATTATTATATCTCCGTTCTGTTGCATTAATCTGTACAATTTATATGCAGGACACCGTTCTTGAACTCGAGTTTCAAGGTGTCAAAAAGCAATTTACTATGCTTCAGGTCACCTCCTAATTGTGGATAATTTTGAAGTTTGGTGAATGCTTAATTGTTTTCAGAATGGCATAGAAAACTTGATTAGACATGTCTATTTATCTGCAGACTTGGCCTGTGCGTTCACCTAGGCCTGTAGCTTCTAAGCTTGCAGCTGATACTCCTCTTCTAACTGGGCAGGTGACTTTTTTGCGAACATTTCTGTTGTTGTTCTAATGTACTTTTCTTCTACATGTTACTGTTCACAGAAATGAATTACCCAAATCTTTGTTCGATTCAGCGTGTTCTTGATGCTTTGTTTCCATCTGTTCTTGGTGGTACTTGTGCCATACCCGGTGCCTTTGGTTGTGGGAAAACAGTTATTAGTCAAGCTCTTTCCAAGGTTAAAGTCGTGGTGTTCATTTTCTTTGATTTTTGTTAATCTGGCATACTGGAATCTTATGCTAAATGACTTTCCTACTTTTTAAATTTAAAATGCAGTACTCTAACTCTGACACCGTGGTGTATGTTGGTTGTGGAGAAAGAGGAAATGAAATGGCAGAGGTACACAGTTTAGCAATTTTTTTTTT